AACACTATACCGACCGAGTAATATGTCACCAAAAACAACACACAATTTAGTATGCCGTCTCTAGTAAAACAACATTCCTTCTTAAAAAGCACCTTATAAAATCCGGATCTTCTTCTATTTGATGTCGAAACTACTGGCAAAATTCCAGATGAGGCTGAAAATCATTGTTATTTAATGCCTGAAACCTTTGTACATGATAGGGGTGTAAAAATTGTTCCAGTAGTACACGCCACTCGCCTCGAATCTACCTCAATGAGGTTTATATTTTTTTTTGTTATCGAAAACATGTTGAGGTCTTTCCCGTCCACGACCTTCATATGTCAGGTAGACATTTCTGGTGTCCCGTAACCTTTGAACTGCTTTTCGCGTGCACAAAATGCACAGGCTCGGCTTACATTTATGATAAATTTTCTTAATTAATTTTCTCGAAAACAGTAGCATTTAGACCACCAGTTGTTTAATAAAAGTTGCTCATTTTCGTGCCCTCTATCGCCCTTTTCAAGGGACGCACTTATTTCAGGAACACTCTGTATAGTACTATCTCTTGGGATTTACTTTGCCTAGCGCTAGTTTGAGATCTCCCGAGAGTGCTTGGAATTTGAAAGATACTTAGAGTTTCATTTTTGTAGGCTTCCTTAGAGAACCTGGCTTGGTAGTTTATTGATGTATCCCGTAAGATCTCCGCTGCAGGTTCAGAAATTCCTGTGCGGTTTGACAAATAGATATGTGGTCTAGGCCGGGAGCAACGTGCTTGCAAAGAGAAAGAATAGATGTTTTCAACAAATTGTAAAAATTTGGAGTGTACTAAACGTACTGGCCAGGTATCCGTCCCTGGTTAATATAAGTTGTTAGGTATCAGGGTCGACGTTCGAACACATGCGATGATGAGTCCGCAGAGACTCTGCAGTAGTTCCCGCCTCAGATGTAGAAATTGGGTTACTTAGGATTTTACCCATTTTTAGAATTTGTTCACCTCGAACGAGTCGACCTGTGTGGTAGTTTGTTTTATGTTGCAGCATGGTTTGAGTTTCGTAATATTTGGAGAATTTTTCAGTTTCCGCAATTCGAAACTGAGTTGATTTTTAGATGTTCGCCGCGTATCGTCGGAGGTCGTTCTATCTACGGTAGTGATCGGAAACGACTGGGTGCTTCATGGAAGATTTCTTAGAAAATTTTTGAAAATAGATCACTCTCTGCTAGTAGATAGAAACCAACGCTTTATGCCAGTAGGCTGTGAGTAGCAAGGATATTTAAAATATGAGTTATACTTTATAGGTTATGTCTCACCCATCGACAAAAAAGTATTTCAAATACCGTTCAACAGTTCATCAAATCAATTTCTTCGTATCTTAAAATTATTTTCAATTATGCAAAGTTCCCCATTTCTCCTAGACATTGCCTAACTTCATATTTTCAAACGGAACACTGTATATTATTGTATATAACAAGAATTGAGTCTAAAACATAGCATTTTGGTATTATTTGATATTTTTAAGAAAATGACATTGGTAGTACCCGCAAAAATATCAAATATCTCCTAAACTTAAACATAACACCAAGTGATTTTACAATTCGTTCAAGGTTGACAAAACGTGTTTTCTGTAATATTTACTTAATAATAATTACGGACTTTAGAAGTTCAAAGTTTTAAATCACTAATATGATTTTTTCGAATGGAATATTAAAATAATGACAGATGCTAAATTTAATTTTAACTTTACTGAGGAGTCTATTTCTTATAATTTGTGAGATTTTTGCGAATTTTCGCATTTTCTAATAACAATACAACTGACAAAAAGACATGTACTTTTAACATATTTTAATAAAATCGAAACAAAATTAAATCAATTAAAAAAATAATATTACTTCTTTAACCCCATCAGTTTTTTTACATATGAAAATTAAACATGTCAGGTAAGTAATTTTCGACTATTGAGTATAAAAAATGCTAAAATGCAACTAAAAGTTCCTTCCAACGGCCTCAAGACAGATGTTTCTGAAAACAAAATTCGGTACATACTTGTGAATTACATGTTTTATCCTATGTTTGCAACAACAATTACTTTCAATAAATCTAACAACGAATTGATATCCTTACCTTAAATTATTATCACATAAATATATCAGTTCCACGTATCTTGAAAAACAGTTTTTCATATATTTTTGTAATTTCCTTTTAATATCGGACATCCATGTTTCGTAAGTCGTTTTCTTATAATGCTGTTATAATCTATAACAGTTTAGAAAAAATCTAACACTTATTCAATTTAAAAAAATGTGTAAACTGCATTTTCTCAAAATGCTGAAACTTGCCTTTATTCTATATTTTGTTGCGTCTAGTTTTATAGTGTAACTAATCTGTTTTAAGTTTTATATCCATTTTTTTAATTTTGTTTTTGTCAATTAATTTTAACTAGCAACCCGCCCCGGCTTCGCACGGGCAAATATAAAATAGCCTATGTTACTCCGAGGAGATGTAGCTTTCGGTAAAATTGGTTGAGTAGTTTTTGAGTTAAATCGTAACAAACAAAAAATCAATCATCTTTCATCTAATGCGACCCTAATATTAATTTTAAAATAATTCACGATATATCTATATACCTAAAGACAACAAACGAACTCAAAACTAAAAATGCAAAACCTTTAAATTTAAAACAATATAGGTAACTACCAACAATGTGAAAACAAAACGAATTAAATTAAAGTACCTATGTTCAGGACTATCAATTTTAATTAATAAGTAAGTAGTTAGGTATCTAACTACCTAAAGAAAACAAACACGAAACAAAAATGCGACTATGAAGTTTTAAATGATTCACAATAAGAAAAAAACAAACAAATTATTAAAACTCAATGAAATAAAAGTATGTTTGCAAGTATCTATGTATGTTCCGACTACCTAAAGACAACAAATACAAAACAAAAATGTGACCTTAAAATATCGAACGCAATTATAACTTTCCAACAACACCCAGAAAGAAAACACAGTCGTCAGTCGTCACCTCCATTCGCTCCAAGTCAGTTTATTAAAGGATCACGCGCGCGTTATCGTTCGGCTTATTAGCTAAACAGTAGGCAAGACGGTGCGGGGGGAGGGTCGGCGATCGCATCAAGCGAAGCGAGGCGCTTGAATTTTATTCTCGCGTCCGTAATTTTTTTGCGATTACTCCTAAGATATTCATTTAAATTATATGGTGTAAAAGAGTAAAATAATGTGCATGAAATGCTTAAAGCCTCTAACTTATTTAAAATGATAAGGATTAATACCGTATTTGTGTAAATAGCTTTTACATTACCGCTTTATAATTGCCAATTTTTTAAAGTATTAAAATGGATATAGGTAGTATGTTATCTTTAACATATAGACATATGCCATCGCGGACTTTTCTGTAGGCATATATAAGATACACAATTCCACCATACATTGATACACTACATAAACTTTCGGACCCCCCCGGCTCGGACGCGAGGCGCGGGGTCACGGGGCGCCCGCGCGGCCCGGTCGAATCACGGCGACACGAAATTAATTTCGTTGCGCATTATTTTGATTTTGCTATATCTCCTAAGGTATTCATTTAATTTGCATGGTGTAAAGGGAAAAAATAATCTTCATGAAATGCTCAAGCCAACTAACGTATTTAAAATGATAAGGATTAATACCGTATTTGTGTAAATAGCTTTCCAATTACCGCTTTATAATTGCCCATTTTTTAAAGTATTAAAATGGATATAGTATGTTATCCTTAAGAGATAGACATATGCCATCGCGGACTTTTCTGTAGACCTATATAAGATACACAATTCCACCATACATTATTTTGTTATATCTCAAAGGGTTTAGGCAGCGTTTTCGTTGAAAGCTCCCAGACGGCTTATTTTTTTCCGACACCTCCAACAAATATCGTTAATGTATACAAAAACTTAACAAATTATATACTAAAACCTTCCTCGAGAACCACTCTATCCATTGGTGAAAACAGCATGAAAATCGGTGTAGTAGTTTTTGAGTTTATCGCGAACAGACAGACGGACAGACAGACGCGGCGGAGTACTTTATTTTATAATATGTAGTGATATTGTAATTAAAAATTATTATGCTCGTGTAATATTTTATTTTATTTTTATACCTATACCTTTTTTGTACGCATTGTATACGTTTAGACGGGTACATAATCCGAAATAATTTAATATAAGTATAATGAATTAGATTTTTTATAAGATTAAGTAGAGTAGCCATTGGCTAGACTTCCCCTTATGTAAGTGAAACTGGATTTTGTTTTATACAATTTTCAAAAAATAAAGACAAAACTATTAAATAATTATTGTGGAGTTGAGTTAGGAGGAGGATCCAGGTCCCAAAGTTCCTTTTTTTCGTGCGATAGTTCCCCCCTGGTATACAAACACACACACATTGCGTTGCGTTNTTAATTTCAATGCCACATATTTTTTGAAAAAAAAGACCTAAATTTGGTTTTAAAAAATAATTCTCAACGATATGTGTTTCAGTAAGTACCTACTGGTCTACAGGAAAAAGTCGCATTATTTTTAACGATCTGCCAAACCTGAATTAAAGGCAATTTTTTTTTCAAAACAGGAAATCCCTTAATTGAAATGCCAAACTTCAACTTCACATTTTTCTCTAGATAAAACAGTAAAAATATATCTAATACAAAAGTAAGACTGACATTTTTTATATATTAAACAATAAAAAAATGATATATAACAGATAGAAATGTGCTACATTGTGTACATAAATAATATATTTGCAGTGAATCATTAAAAGCAATACACAAAAAGAGATCAAACAAGTATGTGTTTAAAATAACAAAAAAAAACACATTATCAATAGTAATACATAATATCAAAACATCCATGAACATATATTTAATAATAACACTGAATTTTATCTCTTGATCTGTTAGTTAACAATATGATTATTTACATTTGTGCACAAGAATTACACCAAATTATAACCGATAATTTTACATCTTTAATTTTTCTTTTGATCTAGCTAGTGTTCAGTATAATTACTACTCGAAATTATACATTTGACGCTAACAAACCAGCCTTTTCTATCATCTTATAAAACCGCCCGTTCTTGTCTCTTAATAAATGAACTGGACTATCATATTCTGCTATCTCCCCCTCTTCAACCAACATTACTTTATCACATTTCAAAACAGACTGAAGCTTGTGAGCTATAGTTATAACAGTGCAAGACATGAAATTTTCTTCTAATACAGAATGTATAAGGACGTCCGTCTCCTCGTCCATGCTGGCTGTAGCTTCGTCTAAGACTATTATTTTGTTGTTACTCACTATAGCCCTTGCCAGGCAAAGCAATTGTTTTTGCCCGGAACTTAAATCAGTGCCAGACTCAGTAATTTTCGCGTCCAAAGAACTTATCACATGATCGAGTTTAACTTTTCTTATAGCTGACCAAATATCTGCATCGTTGTAGTTTCCTAAGGGGTCTATGTTGCCACGCACAGTTCCAGTGAAGAGGATGGGATCCTGTGGGATTATCGCTATTTTCTTTCTGAGGTATTCTAACTCAATGGTTTCAGTATCAACTCCATCGATAATTATTTTTCCATCATAGTCATATAGTCGGAAAAGAGCGGATATGATGGAGGTCTTTCCAGCACCTGAAATATGGAAACTGTAATGTGGTATCTACAATAACTCATTATTTACTGATGTTAGCCCCGCCTTTGTAATCAAATTTAAAAACATTTTGTCAGCAATTTGTGAGTATACCACAAGTACCCCTAAATTTTGTTTGCAACACGCCATTTTAATGAAATACAGTGGCCCTCTAGATGTACTTGGTTCACTCATTACCAATATTCTTTATTACGCATCCCCTTAACGAAAAATTGCAAATTCTGATTTCCTGCTTGCTATAAAAATTTTAATATCTCTTTAAAGCAACAATAATTTGAAATTTACCTTAGGCGCAGTTTCGAAAAGTTAACCTCCATTTCGTGTATTTTCTCCGTAAAGAGTAACTTGCACATTCTGGTTTATTTACAAATGACTTACTAATTTCTAAGGATATTTACAACCTGCTGCAATATTTTTAGAAACGATTATTGGGAAAATATTTTTTTATAGCAAAAGCCAAACGCGTTATAATTTATTAGTCAGTTTTGGAATGGTTTGGGAAATAAAGTGTTTCAAGTACATTTGGAAGTCACCAGATGAAGTCATTAAGAGGACCGTGTCTGGAAAACTTTTGTAAAAAAAAGAATTACATTTCTGGAGTTCTGGAGTTGTGGAGAGGGTAGCAAAGCTACAGCACTTAGGCCCCATTGGGACCCTTGTACTCCCTCCCATTAGAGAGATCAATCCACCTGAGCCGCCAGCCAGCCTATTGCACTGAAAAAGGTGGTGACGTTGCTCAGGGGGATATCTCTAATATAGGCCATTGAAGGCCAGCGTTCTCCCAACATGGACTCTTTCGTTGACGAGACGGCAAGAATTACATTTACACAACTTAGCGTCGCTGCTACTTAGAACATGAACATCATAAAAATTAGAAAGCATATTGAATAAGTCTACTTTGTAACATTTCTAGACGTCTAGTAAGCATCTTTTCAGGACAAAATGAAGAGAAATATCGATATTTGTTCATCACGGGCCCCTCAGGTATCTACCCGTGAAAATAGAACGGAATGGACGTAGGAATTCCAAAACAGTGCCATATTTTGTCATAATGTTTTACGGCAATTAATGTCGAAATTAATAGAGAAAGTTTTTCGGAAGTTCCCTTCTTGCTCGGAAAAACAAGACATTTAGGTCAACAAAGGCTTTCCCCCTTCAGAGGTGTCCGGCGAAGGAAGGTATAAAATATACGATTTCATATGTGTAAATTCAGTTTTGTTACATAATTATCAATATGAAATGGTAAAATCATTCCTAGAACGTTCCCAAGATTCAGGAGGAGGGTCGAACAGACAAGATAAAACGTACTTAAGCCCTTAAAGGTCTGAATTGGCAAATAAGATGACAACAAAACTTCTCAACCTGAAATAGGCGGGGTCGAATTAAAATTGTCGAAATCTAATGGGATCCCCGTAAGGCAGTTCTCCTTGGGTTTCTAGACAGTCGAGTCTACTTAACTTTAGAGTCTCGGGGTTAACTGGGTTAATGGGTAATATCTTGATTCCAAATTCTGCCACATATCCGCGATTTCCTGAATCTCGAAAATCTCGCTGTAGCGTGCAGTTGTTTGGTTTGTTTTTTTTGTCAATTTTATACATTGTTATTAAAAACCTTCCTTAAGAAGTTCTGGTGATTTCTTTTTCTCTTTATATTAAGTGAGTCGAGTAAGAGTGTAACACCCTGTACGACCGGCCCATGGATTAAACGCTAGGTGAGCAAAAGAACGTAAATGCCTGAAATTCATTCTCTGAACGTACATTTCTAAGTTCCCACGTACCATAATTAAAGTACAAATGATAAATTATGAGCTCCCTTTCACAAATTGATGTCGTTAAATAACACCTCAGGTTACATTTTCCACTACCTCAAATTTCATAGATTTAATATACAGGGTGTCCGCAAATTGCACCGACAACGTTTGACTGCATATTCAGGACGATAGATAAAAACGATCTACTAAAAAAAAGTTAAATAAAAAATTTTTGGTTTTTGAGTTACAAGCCTTCAAAGTTGTCAAAATTAAAACTTATTAAATTAATAACTTCATAACTCCACACGTGCAAATTATGAAAATTTATAACTTCGTTCCTTGTAAAACAAGATTTGTTTGTATAAAACTATTTTTTAAGCAAATTATTATCTTCTGCGAAGCCATTCACCAACCAGTGGCAAAATTGTAAACGTGCGTTGGGATCTAAATTTTCAAATTCTTGAGCAGGAGTTAAATGAAATGTCCGAAGAAGTTGCTTTTTTAAAGTTTTGTGAACATTAGTTTTACATACATTTAATTGTCTTGATACACTGCGGACACTTCATAATTTGCATGTGTGGAGTGATGAGAATCCTAAAGAAACGCGACAATAATGACATTATCTGATAGCCACAGCGATCAACATCTTGTTTTCATCGTCTACTGAACTCAAAATTTCAAATCCGTGACAAACCGAAACGCACAGACCTGCAAATAATGCCATTTTTCTCAAGAATGGCTTTCTGTAGGCTATTATCTCAAGGGATAATATTTTTTTTTCATGAAACGACCTTTTCAGTGTTGCTGTTAGTTTTAAAAAATACGACCACTGTAAAAGTTTTGACCGCTAAAAGGGAGAAGTAAGCGGAGAAAACTATCACCCAGTATATGGATTTGACTAAAGCGCCATAATAGTCCAAATAAATGTACCAAATTTTAACCCAATCGGTAACAGGGTTATGAAGTTTTTAATTAAATTAGTTTTATTTTTGACGACTTTGAAGGCCTGTAACTCAGAAACCAAAAAGTTTTTATTTAACTTTTTTTTCGTAGATCGTATTTATTTATCGTCGTGAATATGCAGTTAAACGTTGTCGATGAAATTTGCGGACACCCTGTATAGAATATTTTTTATACAGATTTAAGGTTTTAAATTTATAAGGTTTCCGTTCCAATCTAGGAGGCTTTGTAAAAAATGTATCTAATTATTACTGACGCTGCAGTTTACTAGATATTTCGGGTGTAATTTATTTTGAAGGGTGTAGAATGATGTAGATAAGATTTCAGATACAAAAAAATTCAAATATGTACCATATTCAAAAATTTGGCTCCTGAAAACAAATCGTATCAATTTCGAGATTTACAATTTTGAGGAAGTTACAGTTTCTAAATACGCACATTCTTAGGATTTATTTCTTAAAAATATTTATTTTAAATTCATTTATTTTTACTGATTAGTTAGTTACACCTGTAAATGGGACTGTACGAGTTCAAAAATAAATTTGAAAAATTATTTGGATTGAAAATAATATTGAAATATTTACCGAATTTTATAGTTTTGCTGGTTCTTGAAAAAACAACCATACATTCTTTTAAATTTGTAAATTTAAAAAGCAACTTTATAAAAAACATATTTGAATTGTTAATCTCACGAAATTGAAATTATTATTACAATTTTAGAATTTAACCTCTATTTGTTATTGGACACAAGTTTTTTCTTCAAATGCATTTATTGACATCCCCACAAAAAAAAAGGTTCTGATCTGGATGACTGTCCATGGTATTCCTATGTATTTTTCGACGCTAAATCTGAATCCGAGGTTAAAAAAATTCGTACACCCCTTAAATTTATATGCAGAGCCAAAAACATCCCCTAAATAGAGGTAAAGTTATGATTATCAGTATCATTACGGAATGAAGTATGAATGGGCATTTTGCAACTTCATGCTCTCATTACTTATTGCAAAGGGCTCCCACGAAAGGGTTGGTACACCTTCTACACCCCTTCCGGGCATAGATCTGAGTCATAAAATTTCTAGCTTACTAAGTCTTGAGTATGCAAGAGAGACATGGTGCAGGGTGAACACAGCTAAAGAACTAACCCCTTAGAGGGGTGAAAAGTACCCTCTGCTGGACGCTGTGGAGGAATATGTGGGAGAGCAAATTTTTCTTGTTTTTACTGTGTAATAGTCGCAGTGCACTGAGCAGCCCTCAACTGCTTTGCCTGTACCCGTCTAATGGATGAAAACTACCCCCAAATTCACAAAAAGTATTCGAAAAAGTTTTGAGACCGAAAATATGCAAGTGTTTTTCAATCTGAGAGAAATCTGCCAACAATACTGAGTTTGCACAGCAAGACCAACCCTTAAAGCAGGTAAAGAACATCTCTCGATGAGTGGGAAACAGGAAGGCGCAGAAAGATGTAGGAAAATTAATTTGTTTCACACCTTCTGTTATCCCTTCTCCAAACCACGCATATTTTCTCCACCTTGTCTGGCTTAATCTTTTACCCGACCTCTGCGTTCTATATTTTAATTGAACACACCCTTTTTCTAACAAACACCTTCAAAATCTTCCTCACTTATTTTCTCTGCCTTCTTGTCTTCGCTGCATACTCTTCCATTTGCCGACAGCCTGTCTCTCAGTCTCCATTGTCCGACCTCATACTCCATGTATTCTCTCTCCCAGAGCTTCCTCCAACCCGTCCAGCAGAGATAGAGTAGTTTTCACACCTCTAGTATCATGGTTCTTTGGCTGAGTTGACCCTCCTCTATGTCTCCTTTGCATTCTCAAGAGCTTGTAAGCTAGAAGTCTTCATGACTAAAATCTATGTCTGGAAGGGTATAGAAGAGGTGTAGAGGCGTATCAACCCCTTCGGGAGAGTCCTTGGCAAGAATAAATGAGAGCACGAGGGTTGCAGTGCAGTGAAGCGCCCATTCATAATCATTTCCGTAATGATACTGATATTCATAACTTTACCCCTATTTACGGGTGTACGAATTTTTATGACCCCGGAGTAGGATTCAGCGTTGAAAAATACATAGGAATACCATGGTCAGTCATCCAGATCATGATTTTTTTTATGAAGCATTTGAAGAAAAAACTTGTATTCCCATAACAAATAGCGGTTAAATTCTGAAACTGTAATAATAATTTTACATTTAAGAGATTTACAAAACGGAAAGAGAAAAATAGATAATGTTCTGAATCTTTAAAATTCAAAAAATTTTAGTAAAGCTCACTTTTTAAGGCAAATTTTGAGTTGATTACGCAGCGCTACACAAAAAGTGAGTTGGATCGTGGACCAGACCTCCCACAGTACTTTGACCCACTGAATCTGAACTTATATAACCACGAAACTCTATACCAACATGGATTTCTTACATCAGGGATCCGAAACTACGTGACTGTGAGATGGCAGGCTTCTATAACCCAATAACCTCATAAGCAATCCGGGATGTATCAGGATGTATATCTACGAAACTCTGAGGAATTGACTCTGTAACTCAGTAAACAGCAGGACATGCAAGCTCCTGAAATCTAGAATCTGAGGCACATAGATTTGTGTTACAAATTCATCCGGAGTTTTTTTCTCTTTGTATCTACAGTGAAAAAGCGTAATAGTACTTCCTTGACTGTACAATCAGTTATCGTGAGTTTTTACGATCACAATCGTAATCAAAATCAAATAACAGGTTACGGGGTTATGGGGTTACAATATAATGAAGTTATAGGGTTATAGGTTTATGGTACAATGAGATTATGAATTCCAATGTTTTTGCAATCAGTGAGTACTCAAGTCAGTTTGAAATCTCGAAAACCGTTTTCTAGAGTATGTTCTAATTTTCGTCAATTTCTTCGTGAAGTTCAGAAGTACCAACCCAACAGATTTCCAGCCTCAGATCAGTAATGAGGTTATGTTGTTGGAATATGTAAATAATTGTGTGGCGTCGTACTAGTTTGACATTGTTTTTACTGATTTGTTACTTACAAAAGCTAATATTTATATAGTATGTGTCAGAACGGTACCGCTGTTGTATCACTGCAATTATGAGTGGAAAGGTGACATTTTTTAAATTTATTTGCTTCTTTGATTCATTGGTAGAACTGATTCATACGTAAAAAAACTTGAAAAGTCTGTCTGTAGCAGTGTAAAACCATACTGTTTACCAATAAATTAATGAATTAATTCATGAAGAACTTCGTCAATTTATTCATGAATAAATTGTCAATGTAAAACAGCTATTAGGGGTGTGTCGTTTACCTGTTCGACCAACAATACCGATTTTTTCTCTTTCTTCTGTGGTGAAGGTTACATTTTTTAACACCTTCTCATTTGAGTTAGAATACAGCAATGACACATTCTGAAATTCTATCCTTCCATTACTCGGCCAATCTGTCGGCCTTGATCCCTTGCCTTTCAATTCCCTTTCTTTTGTTGTATATTCTAGAACTCTTTCGACAGATGTCATTTTATTTTCTATGTCCGCCCACTTTCTTATACCATACTGGATTAAACCACTTAACATGAAAGCTTGAGTTATGGCAAGACCAACATTTCCAACAGACGTATCTGCAATCAATATTAATAATATGTACTTATGAGATTATACAAGTCATTGTGTAGATAGTAGGTATACAGGGTGTCCCGTTTAAAACTCCCAGCTAGATATCTCGAAAACGGAACAAGATAAACGATTTCTGAAAAATCCACTGTATAGTTTCCACTGTGGCTTTACTCGTGAGTACAAATCCCGTTCCTCTCAGTGGGGTATAGATGTCGCTGCAATCCGAAAACATATTTTGTTGACAGCAGTTTTGCTTTGAATAAAACAGTGATGAATTAATTTTATTTAACTACACAGGAAATTGCTTCATTTAATCTTGTTTACCTACGCAAATCATAGTCTTTTCGATCAAGATAAAGTAATATTTATTTAACAAAAACTGATGCAAAATTAACAAAAATTACAAATAATATCCATAGTCAGTCCATATAATGTTATTTAAAAACTGGTCGTTTTCTTGAAACTTCTTTTCTTTTCTTGAAGTGTCAAAGTTGATACATATTACTATTACCATAGCTATAAGTCTACACCTTCAACTTTGACATATTTGACACTTATTCAGTATGGTCCAGTACACGAATAAAGAAAAGCTCGACATAATTTTAATATTCGGTGAATGTCGTAGAAATTCTAGAAAAGCAGAAAGACTTTATCAGGTACGTTACCCAAACCGTCGACATACCGGTCATAAAACCTTTTTGTCTTTATCGACGAATTTGCTTCATTGTGGTTCTTTTAACAAATCGTAGAAATACTGTTACAAATGATAGAAACACTGCCGTGGTATTAGGTAAGGTTGAAACTAATCCACATACCTCGGTGCGAGATATACAACAAGAAACGGGGATTTCCGGAACATCGGTCCATAATATCTTGAAGCGAAATACGCATCATCCTTACAAAGTGCATCTTTTACATAATTTACGTCCTGGTGATATGCTACGAAGACTAAATTTTATTGCAGAAATGGAAATAAAGGCTCAAGAATATGACCAGTTTTTAAATAACATTATATGGACTGACGAGAGTCGATTTACAAAAAATGGCATTTTCAATAGACATAATAGCCATTTCTGGCATGACAGTAACCCTAGATGGACCAAAGACATTTCCAAACCACGTTCTCTACTATGGTATTATTAATGGCATATTAATTAGACTCTATTTATATGAGGAAAATTTGAACGGTCGCAATTATTTACAATTCCTTCAAACCCAACTAAATGTTCATTTGGAAGAAGTTCCTTTAGTTATGAGACAAAATATCTGGCTCCAACAAGACGGTGCACCAGCTCATAACGAAGGGAGGGTGCAAAATTTTCTTCATGAATATTTTCAGGGGCGATGGATAGGCACCAATGGTCCAATAAGGTGGTCTGCCCGCACCCGTGATTTAACCCCACTTGATTTTTTCTTGTGGGGTTATCTAAAGAACCTAATTTACCAAACAGAAATTGAAGACATGGCTGACTTGTGCAATAGCGAGCTGTGCATCTATTCCTCGAAATGTTTTATTACGGGCAACTGATACCGAACTTAGAAAAAGATATGAATTATGTATTCATGAGAATGGCGGCAATTTTGAACACTTATTGTGACTCGTGTATTATGTTAATTTAGTATCATTTACTTGTAATTTTTGTTAATTTTGCATCAGTTTTTGTTAAATAAATATTACTTTATCTTGATCGAAAAGACTATGATTTGCGTAAACAAGATTAAATGAAGCAATTTCCTGTGATATCTATTAGTTAAATAAAATTAATTCATCACTGTTTTATTCAAAGCAATCTAATACGACGAAAATCTGCAGTAGTTATGCCTGCAAATTTAACTTTAAAAAAATCTTCCTCCTGGAAAAAAATTACCTCAAATCCAAGTATCTCGGAAACTAGTGGCTTTTCGAAAATTGTTTATATCACAAAAGTTGCTTATAATTTAGAGATCTTTCGTGTGCGCCGCTTTTCAAAACTGCTGTCAACAAAATATGTTTTCGGATTGCAGCGACTTCTATACCTGCTCTGATAGGAACGGGATTTGTACTCACAAGTAAAGCCATTTATTGAACTATACAGTGGATATTTCAGAAATCATTTATCTTTTTCCTTTTTCGAGATATCCAGCTGGGGAGTTTTAAACGGGACACCCTGTATAGTTAAACTATTTATTTTATATGTAATAAGTATTATTATGTTTGCCACATCGTTTCTAATAAAATTGTTTCCTAAATACGCAAAATATTTTTGAATTTCAAAAATCTTTAGAATATCATGCTCCACCCTCGTGAACCGTAGAAAAATATGAGCTATTCCATAATTTGTAAAATATACTATTGCAATGCAATAGGTGACTTTCAAACATTCTTAATTAGAGCACTTATTCTTTCACTTGATTTTAAGCAAATGATATCCACCAGCGGCCCATCCATATGGGTTTCTCAGGATTGTATTATTTATTTTATTGCACTTCCTTTTACATTTATAAATATTACATCCATTTAATTTATATTTTGTCATATTTAAATAAATCACCCTGTACTTTGAAATATTTAATGTTAATAATGAATAATTCTTTAGCAAAAAAAAACTACTGTCTTCATAAGAAATTTTATGTAAATAAATTACCATTTTCAGAAGCCAGAAAGTATCCTATAATCACAGCAATGAAAACAGTACAACACGTATCCAAGGCTAAGCCAAATGCTCTTGTGCAGCACTTGTTGGTAAAACTTGTTGATGTATATAGATCCTGATGCCTGTCAAATTCTTGAGTTAACAGTTTTTGAGCATGAAATGCCCTTACAGTCGTCAAACCCTCTAAGGTGGCATTCAAGTAACCCATCATGGGACTTCGAGCTAAAATAATAATGTATTTTTAATGAATATGATAACACAGCGACACTTTTCATGCGACATATGTTATCCGTAGTATTTTTGCCTCCTCACGAAGCCGGTGTCAGAATTGATCATCACATCACAGGAATTTCCTAACCCCAAAAAACTGGTCAAAAATGGCAAAAATCCACGATAAAGTGCAAATACATTTTTTTGTGTGTAGTTGTGTAATCTGACGTTTATAAAAAAATAATCAGGACAATCAAATCGATCTAGAATATATAGAAATTGATAATGAACCTTGCAGTGAACCACTTTTAGGCTGTAAGATTTGCCGTTTGATTATAGTTATTTATGAGTAGTTATGTCAGTTTTATTATTAACGATTTAGAATCCCCATTTAAGTTTGTACAACTCCCACTCCAACTCAGAAACGACATGCGGCAGTTCGTAGGCAGAACTCAACTTCAGCGTTGAGTGAGTAAATAATATTTTCTCACTCAACGGCTCCAGGAATCAGCACCAGTAGCTGAAACCTACTATGGTCCAATGTCAACCCAAGGACCCAGGCGAACTTTTTACTTATTTATCCAATTCTACCGAAGCTTTGTACGCTTTTAAGTGTGGAATTTCTGCGGCCCGAGAAGAATACTCCTGGTAACTTGCAGAGTCCATCGTCCATCCTCAATCCACACGAAAGTGTTAGTGAAGTGTACAGTGAAGTGTACAGCTTGAGCTTTCTCCCTGTTGCTAGTAAATACCGATTGTTAGATTTCCATTGCTTGCTGGGTAGGAAGCGCTGAATGAATGAAGTAGTTTTAGTATAATCTATAAGTTTTGCTTTATATTCAGAACCATATGGAACAGTTATAATTTACTAAACTTTGTCTTTGTTTCTAGCACCGACTAAAACCGTATATTTTGTTTAAGACCATTTAATGTTTTATTTAAATTATTGATTTGTAAATATATTTAATATCTAGTTTTGTCTTTGTTTTTAGCACTTGTATAAGAATTTTTTATGTAAACTGTTGTTTTATTTAATGTTTAATACTGTCTTTACTTCTAGTACCGTTTAAAACCGTGCTTTTTATTCACTTATGGGCACTACTATTTACTTGATTATACATAATTATAATTTCTAATAATTGGTTGCATTAATCTTTAATTCTGATAAGGTTGATAAAATTCCGATCAAGTAAATAGTCTGGTACTGTTTTGTTAAGATACACGAATAATTCTATTCATTTCAGAATTAATTTTACACTACACTGAGAAAACTACTAATAACAAAAAAGAAATATAACAGACCTCTGGAATTTCACTTTCTTCACTGTAACTGCCGAGTGCTTTAATCTAGACCGAGGTTCACGTGAAGTTTCCCCCACGTAAAATATAATATTCGGAGTACGTCCCTATGACTCATTGCCTCTGGCCGCCGACCACCACCGCCGATAAATTTATTAGTGACGCTCCTTGTCACAAAATTTGACGCCCAAATAGAGACATCAGTGAGTCGTGCAAGTACTTAAAATTATAATTCAAATTTCACATTCATTTAGTCGTAGGACATCACAATTTCAACTCAATGTATAGTCTTTCCGATGTCAATTGAAGAACCAAGAGGTTGACAGTATGTACCAGGTTCGGTCGCTGACGTAGCAACTCGGCATTGAAATATTTGAAAAACTTGTACCCATATTTATTTAACCATGCCCATATACAGGTCTGGTCGAACTAAACATGGAGGTGATAGAATGCGAGCGCGGGCAAACGAAATATAAACACAGTTGCATTGGGCCACTGGACAATAAATCTCAGCTGTTGACAAATGGTTAGCAAATTGCCCAACAGTGCAGTGCAGCAATGGGGTGTGATTCAGGTAATTTGAATTTATTATAAGCACCTTCTATTAATCACTGATATTACAACTACGAAAGGGAGAAATAATATTATTACAACATGGCATTTTGGAGACCTTTTGAAACGGAAAAAACGAAATTTACCAACAATATAATAAAATTTTTTCAGGACATGAATAATTAAAATATGTAGTTGGCCAAATAAACATATAATAGAAATTTTCTACACATTATATACAAATTATTATAATTTTTTTACCTTTAGCAGAAAATGTTTTAGGGACGCCTATGAAAATCATTAAATTTTATTGCCAGGCGTTTTTTTACATGTTCAACTGACTTCGGAAAGACTATACCTAAATGATTCTCAAATAATTCTCAAAATTATTAATAAATATACAGAGTTTTATTTAAAACAATATTATATTTGTTGTAGTATACACAGGGTGGTTGGATAAGTTGGTACAAAATTAAGATAACGGAATGAAAATTGTAGGTAACAGTCATACCATAAGGGTCTTTAACTCCATAAGTTTCATCAAAATCGGTTATAAAAAATAAGGATAGTTTTATACTCTTAACAGAAATTTTTCGATTTTTTTTTATTCCTTTGAATTATCAAGCAAATATTATTTTTTGATGAATTAGACATTTTTGACGAAAAAAAGTCCCTACTTTTTTTGTTGAATTTTGCTTAGTTTAGTCAGAAATAATTATTTTTTAAATAGTGTATGGTTCAGAACAGTAACTTTTTTTTAACATGTTCACATAGTAGGCATCTTTCATAGTGACAGTTTCATTATAATGATACTAATGATTGTGATTTTCGCATGCTAGGATTTAAATTCTTATGTTTTTTTATTTTCTTAGTTGTGATCTTTGTGCTCAACTCTGCATTTCATTCGATTTTTTTACAACCATGAACCATCATGCTTTTACTAACCGTGAATATGCCGATATGCATTTTATTTATGGTTTCTGTAATGGAAATCTGGCGGCTCAAAGGGAGTATCGGCAACATTTCCCTAATACAAGGCAACCTTCTGCAAGATTGTTTCGGAAAATTCATGCAAGAGCTATGGAATAAGGTATCCTAACTTCAAGATATCGTGAATGTGGCCGTCCAAGGAGGCGTAGGTTTGATTTAGATGAAGTAATTTTAAGAATTTTTTAACGTAATCCTACTGCGAGTGTAACTCATGATGGTTCATGGTTGTAAAAAAATCGAATGAAATGCAAAGTCAAGCACAAATATACCAACTAAGAAGATAAAGAAACGTAAGAAATTAAACGATAGCATGCAAAAGTGACAATCATTAGTATCATTACAACGAAACTGTCACCATGAAAGATGCCTACTATGTGAAAATGTTAAAAAAAAGTTACTGTTCTAAACCATACATTATTTAAAAAATAATTATTTCTGACTAAACTACGCAAAATTCGAAAAAAAAGTAGGGATATTTTTTCTTCAAAAAAGTCTAATTCATTAAAAAATAATATTATTTGCTTGATAATTCAAAGGAATACAAAAAATTCGAAAAATTTGTGTTAAGAGTAGTTACAAAACTATCCTTATTTATAACCGATTTTAATGAAATTTATGGTAGTTAAAGATCCTCATGGTATGATTATTACCTACAATTTTCATTCCGTTATCTTAATCAGCAATAAAGTTATTTTAAAAAATATCCACATGACCCCTTTGGAGGGCCATATCACAGTAACGGTGCTCCGGAGGACCAATGTTTATAGGAACTTTTTTACTATTTTTGGCTCTACTTTCACCCTCTTAAATTTTGTACAAACTTTTCCAAACACCCTGTATAGCCCAAGAAATATAATCAGTTTTCTAGAGGTTCATCTTCAAGTCTCATATAGGTATTAGTTCCAGTTTGAACATAAACACACGCTTTATATTTTAACTTACTTGCAGATTCCAGCCTCTGCAGATTCCTTCCAGTGGGCATGTAATATTTTCGAATAAAAAACAAAACCAAGAGAATAAATGCAGCAGGAATTAAAAATATTACGTTTACTGTTGCCAATATAATGATTATTCCACATAATGCCAGAAAAATCTGAAAATAAATGTATAATATACAATATACATATTAACCCTCTAAATTTCATTTCCATGAAAGTCGATGCTTTTATCCAGATTTAACTTACTTCAATGAATTCATACACATCAAATGGGAAACTTTCGTCAATTATCGCCAAGTCATTTGAAAATCTATTTATGATATTTCCTATGAGAGTACCATCAAAAAACGTCATTACGGCATTTATAATATTTTCCACCATTGCTTTATGCAGACGATTTGACGCTCTGCGTGTAAAATTAAAGAACAAATATGAAGTTACAATATACAAAATAGTAGTCGCTAAAATCAGCGAGGAAAACAAAATTAAGATTAGTGAATGATCTGCGGTCAGTTCTTGATATTTTGTCGTATTAGTTAAATTATTTGCCTCAAACTGGGATAAATTTTCTTCTAAATCAACCCTAAAAGTAAAGCAAAATTAACATATTGTAATACATTAAGGTTTTTGAATTTACCAGAGGCTTACCATCTTCTCTGTATAACTTTTTGAAGACTGAGTCAATATAAAGAATATCATTATAAAACTTAGCATAAAAAAGCCCCCTCCATAAAAAATATACTTTTTATAAACTTCCCCTCCTACCCGTCCAGATTTTTTTACTTCATGATATATATTTCTCCTTCCGGAACTTTTATCTTTCTCCAAGAGTTTTGTTTCTTCACTGACATTATCGTTTTTACTGTTTTCATAATATTCTTGATATTCGTATTTATCTCTATTCGGACTTTGATATTTATAAAGGCCAACTACATCTTTATTAGTAGCCTTTATAATTGACTTTATTGTTCCATTTTCCATTAACATCAAATTGTCGCCAGCTTGGAGGTATTCCGTGCTGGTGGCTAAAATTATTAACTTATCTTTTAAGAAATTCCTTATACATTCATTGAAAACATGGTCTTTCACATGAGCATCTAAAGCTGTCAGGCAATCATCTAGAAGGTATATTTCACAGTCCTTGTATATAGCACGAGCTAAGTTTATCCTGGCTTTCTGACCTTTGCTTAAATTTACTCCTTTATCTCCAATTATTAGATTGTCACCTTGAAAGCATATATTAATTTTTATTGAATTACAAATAACATTTATCAGATAAACAAAAAAAAAACATACCTTCTGTGAAAAAACTGAGGTCAAAGTTAAGAGCACATGCTCTCAAAACCTTCTCGTACCTAGACTGGTTAAATTTTTCTCCGAATACTATATTTTGCTTAAGAGTTGAAGGGAATATCCAAGGCTCTTGAGACGCATATGAAATTCTTCCACTTACGCTGACCGTACCTTCCTTAAGCTCGCAATCTTTTAATATCGTCTTCAAAAGTAAGGATTTGCCACTACCAAGAGGCCCTGTTAGGATTGTTAAACCTGATTCCATGGTTGCTGTTACGTTTTGAATAACTTCTTTATCTTTGAAAGCAACTGTCACTTCTTTTAAACTGATTTTAGGAGTAATCGCTATCATCTCCGGATTTCTACCAATTGTTTCAGCTCTAAGTAAACTGTCTATTCGTTTTACTGATGCATGTAGTTCGGCAGATTCTGTTATACCCGACGGAACGACAACGCTCAGAGCATGCCTTAGCCTTTGGAAAAGGGTAAGAATGAAATATACCAACTCGGCAGAAATTGTGTGTCCTAGCCATACATAAGTCATCACTAAGAAATAAAACGCAATTTTTGATGTTAGCCCACCGATCATCAGAATTGTTACTTTTATTAGAAATATTTTTACGATTATATTAACTTCGCTCCTGAAAAATTACCATTAGAAAATTATATTTACACTTATTATTATCACTACTGTCTAGAATCCAAAATTTTTCTGCTGAAGAAACTCTCCCAGGTGTACATTTTTATTAATTTAATGGCTGAGACCGTTTCCCGAGTAACCTGAAGGCGTTCGTCAGTCTTCTCTCCTGTTTTCATTCTCAACTTGGAAGTCTTTTTACCAATATAAACTGGAAATGAAAAATATTTTTGTCGCGAGAAATTTAAATTACTCTGCAGTTTTGTTATGAGTTTAATATTTTGCAGTTTTTTTAATGTAAGGTTTTTTGTTAACAAAATTGTGTTGCAATCTAATAATTTCCGTTAAGAGACACAACAGTTTTTAAAGGTAAATAATTTACTTATAATTTTTCTAGCAAAGAAACATATAACAACTGAAAAAATTTGGAAGTATGTTAGTTCTGAAATGTGAAATAGATTTTGCATGTAACAGTAGAAACAGAAAAATCTAGTGACGATTTTTGTCCTTAACTTATTACGAAAATATCAATTTTATTCAATAAGATTACTTTTAATTTGTTGATACTATTTCAAGTTACTTTCGAGTTACTATAAAATATAAATCTGTTGCCTAAAACCGAAGTTTTATCTCATAATTTAGATTCACAATAAATTAACATGTTTAAGTACAGGGTGAAACAGAATGGATTAAGTTAGGTTCTTCATATCTACGTCACCGAAATTTCTTAATCGTAAATCAAAAATTGTAATTTAATGCTAATGCCAAAAATTATTTTTTTCTAACCTCAACACCTTATTTCTAAAAACAAGAGCGAATTTTCTCTGATTTTTTTTACAGTAGACATGAGTGATTGCAGTATGTACTAGATATTTGCTTAATACCTAGGTTGAAGTTCTTACTTTGAAACGGTATTACAACAAGTAGAAATCCAACTCCGGCAAACGCTGCAACTCCCATCTTTTCATATATTAAGTAACAAACCATTGCCGCCTGCACAAATCCTATCCAGATATCATTCCAGTACAAAATTATTTTCTCAAAAGCCGCCACGTCCTTAGTCATAAGGGTAACAATTTTCCCAATAGGTATCTCCGACAAAGACATGGCCGTTAATTTCAAAGACTTCCGGTACATCAGCGAGCAAAATGCAGTCTTCACTTTTACCCCTAATGCTGCAACGACCAACATGTAATTGTGCATATAAATTATGCTCATAAGATTTAGACCGATTAATAAAACTGCATAAAGGTATGCTTCTTGCTTTGTTATTTCCTTCTGGTTGGGTTGAAAATATAAGACCAGCTTTGAAAGTGTCATCGGTATAGTCATCCTGAAAAAATAAACCTTAGAGTATTTTTCGGTAGAAAAATTTTAATAGTTTTATTGCTTTGCAAGCAGATTAAATGGTCAATATTATAAATAAACCGCACAAACGCTTTTGCTTCTTAAAAAATTACCTGTTCCATTACATGAATGTCTTCTGCTTTGAGAATAATACGCAAACCATTTTTGACACTAACTACTAAAAAACAATTGTAAACACTATGGCAACGACGACCGTAAAATCGGATTTCATTATTCGAAGTCGCTGAGGCCACGTGGCTCTCCACGCGTATTATGAATGACGCTAGAGACTACAATTGTCCAATGGTTGAAAGTACTACAACCTCAATAATTTTTTTCTCGGAAACTATAAGGATTTTACAAATTTTTTTACCATTTGACTCCATTTCTAATGCCTCATCTATTCCCAAATTTTTTTGGATAAATTGTGAATCATTCTGTCTCTTACTTACGCCCTTAGGTTTTAAGTCTAATATACGAACAGCTCAAAGACAAACACAGAAGAGGGCATAGACAAAGAAGCTGGGCCTGTTAAGAAGAGGACTGAAAAGACTCATGACTTGATCAGAACAGACTATAGCGAAATTCTCTTGTGACACGATTGAGACTTGCGGGAATAGGTGAAGTATAACGATCGGATTAGTGGAAAGAAACCCTTGGACAGAGGCAAGCCCAGATGTTCTTAAAAAATGAATTAATGGTAGATCTACTTAACCAAAGTCGCAGATCAGTACGACTGCTAACTAGATATTGCATACTTAAGAAAAATCTGACTAATGAAATGTGACAACCTGAGCGAGTTGTACCAGGAAGAAGAGAGCCCATACATGTGTGAATGTGTAGGCTTATGTGAAGGAGCCACTGTCAAAAGCTAACTAGAAGACTAAAGCTAGATGAGCAATTATAAAATCGTATACTTCCACAATAACCTACGTAAGATCGTAGTGGAAAATGAAGATATATCGTACCCACTCCGTATATAAAGGGTGTCTCAAAATAAACGCAGAATTTCAGATTTCATTAATTAAAAAGTTGTTGCATGTTTTTACATATTTTTAAGAGGTAGATATTGCCATTAAATGAAAGAGGAAATCGGATATCAGATGTTCTCCGAGACTCATTTGGCATATTCGACTAAGAAAATTTTGTATGACGCTTTCGTATACCTACAGTTGAATTTCGTTGATAACTCTAGAAATTTCTGCCTTTAATTCAGGAATGGTATTCATTTGATCATAAACTTTGGACTTTACAAATCCCCACAAGGAAAAGTCGCATGGTATAAGATGATCTTGGTGGTTAAGTCACTTCACTGTTACGTGTGCCGAATGGTAGGTGGCACCATCCTGCTGGAACCACATTTCATCCAAATTCATGCCATCTCAAACGAGACCACAAACAGTTCAATAGCATCTTTCGATATTGTTCTCCATTGACACTCACTGCGTTTCCAGCCTCATTTTCAGAAAAGAACGCACCAATCACCCCGTCAGCGTAAAATCCACACCACACTGTCACTCTTTGGATATACAGTGGTCGTCCTTGAATAACCCGAGGATTGTCTCTGCCCCAAATTCGACACATTTGCTCGTTTACATACCCACTAAGAAGGAAATGCTTTATTGATTCTCCAACATCCAATCAACGAATGTCCATTGCATTAAATGGTCGTCTGGTTTCAATTCCTGGGTTAGCTGAATCCTGAATGGATACAGATGCAGATTTTTTGTTAAAATTCACTCCATTGTGCTTTTTGAAATGTTTAATTGTAGTGACCGATGGCGGACTGAGGTTACGGGAATTTCCACCACACTATCACTCATCGTAGCAACATTTTCGGCAGAACAGCCAGTACGAGGGCGGACTATTTCTTTATTGTCTACAACCGAACCTGTTTGTTCAAATTTGGCAACTAATCTTTTCACTGTTGTTACATTGAAGTTACACTGTTGTTCAGTCTATCAACAATTCCACGTAATTTGCGCACAGTCTCAGCTACACACTCTCCGTAGTTGTAATGAATTTTCACAATCTTCACTCGTTCATCCATTTTGTCTAATCGCAACGTGTCTACTACAACATAGCTCTTTTCTTTTATTCATGATTTCAGAATCATAACGCGTTACGATCCGAAATCTAGAACTTGATTGGTTTCCATCGGATCGTAAAGCGTTATGATTCCGAAATCATGAATAAAAGAAAAGGGCTCATATGACCCTGTGCAATGCTGCCAACTCTTTGGAATGAAAATGGCGCATAATTCGAATCGTGTGTTAGTTTTGAGACACCCGTTATCTTCAACGTATGCACCTACCTACCATCTGAACTCGTTGATGACTGTACCTGTTAAAGATTTTAAAATAATACTCACACCACAATTGTCCTAGATAAAAGTTGAATCAGACCTATAATTAAATATTCCTTCCCATAACACGACCATAAAATTCTATAAATCGATGCAACATTGTTCTTCAAATCTAATTCCAATTTCTTCTCCAATTCGTCACCCAGTTTTTGTGATTTGTAGCAAGCAGGAACTTCATACAGATCATCGTCTTCTAGTTTGTTGGTAACATACGTTCTCCAGAACAATCCTCTAGTATAACTGAAAATATTATTAAAATCAGTATCAGTACATAGTTTTAGGATGAATTTGCAGTCAGCAATCCACCTCTTTATTAAATATATTTCAATAGAGTCAATTTGTTTTCTTCATTAGGTAGTTATTTTATGATCTGCGTAAAAATTAAAATGAATGAATAAACGTTTGCGACCAATACAGAATCACTAAGTAACTTCAGATAATATAGTCAAAATATCTACAAAATTGTGTACGATATAAAGCAAAATATGTTCGTTTGTTAACATTATGAATTTAGGACAATCAACAAAAATTTTATTTTTCGTAAAATTTACCAACGTTTCGACTGTATTTATCTTTCTCAAAGTTGTTCCACTATAAAAAGATCTTATGTGAATAGCGAGACAATAGAATAAAAAAAACTCCATCATTCAAATTAAAGTAAACCGCGAAACCTCTTCAACTGAGATTAGGACATTTGTATGATTGCCTCACAATTTTCAAGAAAACTATAACGATGAAGGCTACAACTACATAACAAATTGATAATAATATAACAAAACTGTTTTCAAAATATAACAAGTATCCACAGGGACCAAACAGTCTGAATATTGATTTGGTCTTTAAAAAATGATAACGAGCAGGACATGGCAAAGTTCAACTATAATAAAATATCTAAGGTGCTGTTTGTAAACAAAATAGAGAGAAATAAATAAGAATAAAAATATGATAAAATAAACTGATGAACTACAAAAAGGAAAAATTGAAGTGATTGATCTGATAAGTGAAAGTGAATCCATGTTAATTAAATCATATCTAAAATTAGTGCCTCTTGCACCAGCTGTCTTTATTGGGAGTGTTATTCAAAACATATAATTTCCTGGTATTTATAATACTTAATTTTTTTATCAAACAAAGCCTTATTTTTATTATATGATTACTTGTTACTCATTTTAAGTGTTGGGTGTGGTAGTGGCTAAAAAACAAATGTGCAATATTTATCTTTTCCTGGTAACTAAAACAATACTCGTCTGAAAATAAAATCCGAGATAAAAAACACATATGAAGTAAACAAAAGGAATTAATCGTTCATATACACGTTCTGTACAGGAAGTTTCGTGGTAAACTACACATATTGTTTTGGGGCAACCTAGGCAGTACAAAACGATCATTTGTTTTAGATCAAAATTTGTAGATATTCAGAGTAATCTATGAATTTTTACAACTTACATTGGTCACACAGATAACTTTTGAACTAATTGTAGAAATTCATTTAGTTTTGGAAACAGTCGAACATTTAACACTGACAGGCCACAGTTGCAAGATCTTGATTGCTCATTATAAAAATAATAATAGATAATAAATAGTTTTAAAAAAAATTGTTACAAGAATCTTACAATATACTGTATGTAGGCTAAACTGTTGTGGAAAAGGAAATTTTTCCTAATACCGTCTTAGAATTGTTTTATTCAAACTTTAATAGCGGTATATGTATATACGGTGTATATTAAAAAGTCTCATAAATAGTTCAAAAAAGAATCACTCTACAGGGTGGTCCGAATTTTATGTCGGAAACTTCGGGGGCAGATAAATCTCTTTAAAATAATATGTGTTTGCCTTATAGACATTGGTCTGGAATAGCCCCGTTTTAGAGATACAGGGTGTTGAAGTTGTTAAAAAAACTGATTTTTTGTTTATATCCTCGGAATCTATTAACCGATCTCAATAAAATACACACATAATACACATAATCTATAATAATAGGCCTTACATTCCATAAAATATGAGTTTTAAAGGTTCAACCAGTGGTGTGTAACTGGACAGGGGGTCACCCCCTTTTTACAAAAAAAACCTACGCCACTGCATTTTTTACAAGTCATTGTAACTGATTTATATTCTAATGCACAAAATACGTAAAAAAGATAACTTGAATTTTTTCCCTAAGATTCACCGTTCTCAAGTTATTCGTACCAATACAATCCCCTTGTGGAAGACACTTCTAACCATAATATTACAAGAATGTTTATGTTTATGCTTAAAAGTGAGTGCAATTTGTAAGCACAAAATTATTTACACTCCTTTCTACACCACCTGTGAGGTACTGTTCCTGGCGTGTTTCATTTTCCCTGGAGGCCTAATACTCTTTACAAATAAGAAGAATATAAATCAAAATAATAATAAAAATATATTTACCAAGCAACAGCAACTAAATAAGAAGCAAAATTAACATTACGTATTTTACAACAATGTTCAAACTGCGAACCACCCACATCGATACATTTCTGACATCTTCTATTAATGGAATTAATTGAAGCTAATATCATGTGGTGGTTTTCTTTTAATTCATTACACCCGTTCTTCTATTCGTTGCAGTAGTTGTGGTCTTGTATCTGTTGGAGTAGAATAAACTTTAGTTTTCAAATAACCCCAAACATAGAAGTCCAGGGGGTTTAGATACTGGACCCTCTGCACCATTATAGTTGACATTGGCATTTGGTCTTCTACCTATCCATCGCCCCATATAATTTTCATTAAGCCATTCTTATATTATTCTCCCAGAATGCGCAGGAGCACCATCCATTGTATTCTATTTTATCGTATATTTAATGGAACATCCTCTAATAATTCAAATAGATGGTTTTCTAGAAAGTTTAGAAATGACTGGGAATTTAGACGGGTTGACAAGAAGAAAGGTACACAAACTTTATTGCGAATTATTCCGAGCAACACGTTCACAGAAAATTCGTGTTGAAAAGATCTTGTCCGAATTTCATGAGGATTTTCTGGTGACCAAATATGCAGATTGTGAAAATTCGCTACCCCTCGCCTTTGGTAAATGTACATTTATTATTATTTTGATTTAAGTTCTTATTTGTAAAGATAGTGGGTTAGGCTTCCAGGGGCAACTAAAACGAGTAAGGAACTCTACCTCACAGGTGGTGTGGAAACGAGTGTAAAGAATTTTGTTGATGTGCTTACAAATTCCACTTACTTTTAAGCATAAACCTAAATATAATTGTAATATTATGGTTAGAAATGTCTGCACAAGGGGATTGTATTGGTATACATAACTTGAGAACGGCGAATCTTAGGGAAAAAATTCAAGTTACCTTTTTTACGTATTTTGTGCATTAGAATATAAATCCGTTACAATAACTTGTAAAAAATCCAGTGGCGTAGGTTTTTTATAAAAAAGGAGATGACCCCTGCCCAGTTGTACACCACTGGTTGTACCTTCAGAGCTCATATTTTAGGGAATGTAAGGCCTACTGTCATAGATTATCCGTACCAAATTTTAGTGAGATCGGATAATATATTCCGGAGATATAAACAAAAAATCAATGTTTATTTAACAAATTCAACACCCTGTATCTCTAAAACGGGGCTGTTCCAAACCAATGTTTATAAGGCAAGCACATATTATTTTAAAGAGATCTATCTGCCCTCGAAGTTTCCTGCTTAAAATTCGGACCACCCTGTATATTTACATATTCTGTCGAAGGACTTTTTTTAATCGTAACTCGCCTAGGTTGACCCACATTCATCATTCACCAAATAGTTCAGTACACAACTAAATAAAACCGATTTATAAAAAAATTTATGTCCTTATTAATTTGAACTATACTATGCTAGTGACTAGTAGAATAAACAAATATAAAGGATCGTTATTGAGGTTGGCAAATGGTAACAAAAACAAGAACTGTGAAGAAATTTACTTGAAAAACACTGTAAGGTAGTTATTTTCCAAACAGTGGTGCTGAAGTTTCCCTTGCCAAGTTCCAAAATTTGTCTATACTTTGTAAGATCAGAGAATATATTAGAGGAGGATTTATATTTATATCCATATAATGAGAGTAAGTTTTGTTGCAATTTCTTGGTCATTATTTATCTTGTAGGTACTTAAATATAGACGTCCTTTACCTTATTCCAAAACTGAGGTAGATATGACTGTCGGTTTTAATTCATACACCGCAATTTCATTACAATTTTGCTTGGAACAATTATACCCTATGTGACAATTCGTCGAGGGCGAAGTGTTTAGTGTATATTCAGATTTTTATAAAATAAAATAAAAAATTCAAGGATTTTTTGTATCCACAAATATAAATCTAAGCTAATTAACCGAATAATATACAAGGTGGCCCCGTGGTAATGGGTAGATTCCAGAAGCAAAAATATTGCGATTTAACCGAACTTATCTTAGTCCAAAAGTTGATAGTTAAAGAGAAACAGGGTGTTAAATGTAAAATATTATTTTACTTTTTTCCATTTATTTCTTAATAAATATAAATATCACATAAAATTTTGGGGTTTGGGATTCTTTGGGTCGAGCTCACACCGTTTTCGAGATATTTGGCTTTGAAATTTCCAATGATGCTGAATTAAATTACAATTAGTACCTATTATTAATTTAGTGGTAAAATTTCTTAAGTAGGCTTTGGACGAAAATTAAATAATTGACGTTTTCCATTTGTCTTATTGCTGTCATTTGTGTGCTACATTCCATTCAGTATAATTAAAATTACATCTTAGTTTACAATTTAAATTGTATATGTATACATAAATGTGAGATAGAATGCCGAGACTTTTGTTTTTGGGGTAACACGAAATCAGTTGTTTATGGAGAAACTATAAACACCCAGGAAGAACTTTTGCAGCAGGTTTTTTGCGATAAGGATTTATACTTTAAAATAAACAATCTTTTATTAAATGCGTTGATAAATGTATTATTTTAATTATTTAAGCTATTAGTCTTGGAATTTCAAAGCCAAATATCTCGAAACGGTGCGAGGCAGCTACTTTCATAAAGTATACCTTTTTTATGTAAAAAATTGGAAAATAAGAATTTGATACCAAAAAGGAGATACCTTAAAGTATAAAAAAGTTAACACATTCAATCAAAATGTGAACAGATTTCAATTCCTCGGCCCAAAGAACCTCAAACCTCAAAATTTTGTGTAAATATTTGCGTTTATTAAGAAATAAGTAAATGAAAAAAAACTAAAATAATATAATACATTTAACACCCTGTATCTCTTTAACTATCAACTTTTGGACTAAGGTAAGTTCGGCTAAATCGCAATATTTTTACTTGGGGAATCTATCCATGAATTTTGGCCCATTACCTCGGGACCACCCTGTATTACTCAGCATATTAAGGCATATTCAAAATATTTATTAGGATATGTCCTATAAATATTTATATTACAAAAATAAATATTAAATATTTTTATTACTTCAATTAAATAAAAAGTGACTCATATAATAGAAGTGTCAGAACTGAGCCGCGGAACATAGGCGTACGCAATATGTATTAAATAGCAACAGATTAAATTGTCTACGATACACCACCACAAACAGCAACGGATAACAATTAGGTTAATACTGAACTAAAATTGAAAAATAAATTAACTATGTAAATGTATTGTTAATAAGCCTGGTGTACTGTTGAAATCATTAAATTAAATTCAAACCTTCAAAGAAATTAACTCCTTGCTCCTATCTTTGTCTAATTAGTAGATATTCGAACGAAATTTTAAAACATAAAACTGAAAGAGTTAAGAATCTTTCTAAATTAATATGAATTATTATTTTTACCTACCTACTTTTGAATTTAATCTTTATTAAAATTAGGTACATTTTTTACAACTTAAAAGTATCAGAACTGTGACGAAATATTTTAAGTATTTCGTCACAGTTACTCCCATCAAGTAAAGTTATATAATTTTGAAATCAAATATACCAAGTATTTCGTAAAAAATGCTACAAGATGCAAGTAGATATTTAATATTTCAGAAAATGCAAAATAAAAAAACTTGTCAAATTGAAAAAATCTCAAAATAAAACCACGTACGACAACACATAATATTTTCCAAACATATTTGTGCTGAAATAAGCCTCAATGAGTGGGATGCCCTCAAATTTCAAATTAGCATAAGCACAAATTAACAAAAGATAGTGACGATATTTTATTTTAATCAATAAAATGATACATTTTTTATGTAGCAAAACAAACAAAAATATGTGTTTTTTAATAAAACATCTATTAAATTCTATTATTTTTATATCCATTATTTTTTGTGAAAAATTAGTTTGACATCGTACTATATCGGTTACTAACATAAAAATAAGATATTCCATTTAATATTAAATTGAGCTTAGTTAGACCTTGCAACTTCAATCTAGTTGGGTTATTAAAAGTAAAATGAGTTTGATCTTCAAATAACTTGCAAGGACATCCCAATTTTGTGATCCCAAATTTTGCGTTCTGTCAACTGTTTCTATGGAAAATAGGGTATTCCTTTTAATATTTTCAATTCAACCTTGGTTTGACCTTGACACTTAAGGTCAAGGTCAAATCCAATCCCAAGAGCATATTTTGGTATCTTGTTAGTACCTTAAAAAGTTATCGAGGGGGGGGGGCGTTGGATCTTTTTGTGACACCCTGTATATTTCTAAATGTTTCTTTATTATCGTATATTTATGTGGGAGGTCATTGACCAAATGACCCTATATAGAAACTAATACAAATTCGTTTCTTTGCAATATCATTTAAAGATATAAATATGAGATAAGTAATTTAAAAATACATACAAATATTGTTTATGAGAATGTAGGTAGGCACTTTAATATTTCAGCACAACAGGTTTACGCATAAATAGCCTACCTTAAATGTTCTAAATTATGTTTAGCGTAAAAAATTTAATAATTATATCAAACGCTTTTACATATTCCATTTCAAATGTCTTTTTAATTCCTTTTGTACACAGAAAATATATATGCGTACTTTTAGCAGCTGAATTAGAAATAGAACAGAAATTTATAAAATGAAAAAGTTAAATATTTATAATTGCTTAATCATTTACAAATAAACAGAAATTTCATAAAAAATATATGTTCCTTTAAAAAATTTGAATACATTAATTAATCGATACAACTATAATTTAAGGAATTTATAATTTAATTTAGTGTTTATAGGTCCCAAAAGTTTGTGCAAATAAAATGTTCGAAATATCTCGAAAAGCTGAACAGCTAGCGCCAGTCTCCGAACAACCCCCCAGATCCCAATATATGCATCACCAAAATGGACCACCAGATGTAATTGTATCATATTCATTCATTATAAATCATAGTTTTAACACAAAATTTATCCTGCGCTTTTCTGTTAAGTTATCAACACACTTGTCATACTCACAGAAATGTAAGTTTCGAGAACAGGTTAGCCCTCTGCCATGGATGCACCTTCCTTTGGTCTTTCTGTCCGTGGTCCATATTTTGTGCTATGTCACACTTCTAATATTTTCACACAATTAAATCAAAGTTTCACATGTAGCCTAACAATAAAACGATATCTTAATATAAAGTAAACAAGATATTATACAACGTATATCTAACCGTAAGTAGTCCTTTATGTTCTCATTAAATTAATTTTAGTAGGTATTTTATTTGTTCAATTTTTGTTCACAATGAGCAACAAAAATATGTGAATACACACAGAGAATGCAGAAAACACTAATCAAGCGGTGAAGTGCGAGAAGCGTGTATCATTTTGCCTAATTAAGTAATTTTATGTAAAGGCATTCAAATATACGAATAATAGAATAATTTGGACTCGAGAGGACTCAATTTTTGTTGAGACATCAACAGTGTCTGTCTATTGACTAACTTGTACGCGTCTGTGCTGAAAATATTAAATAATTTGTTAATCATTGTTATCCTTATCATCAAATTTGTCACACAACAGCAGGGCTGTAGCAGGACTAGTCAAATGTGTTTGATTAAAAAATAGCTTTAAAATCATCTTCCAACGATTTTAATACCTGTACAGAGTGTAAAGGAAATTTCTGGAGATACAGGGTGTCAAATGTAGGTATGGTTTGTCAGCAAAAATATGTACAAAGAGTGTCCCGTATAAGAACCGTCACAAAATGCTTTCCAAAATATTGTAATTTAACCAATCTCAATGGAAGGAGTGCGCCAAATAAAAAGCAGGATTTCATATGACGAAAAAAGATTTTATTGATTAAAAAGTTGTTGCATGTATTTCAAGGGTAGACATTGCCGTTAAATATGAAAGACGATATCGGACAGATGTCTTCCGAGACGCATTTGACGTAACTCGACTTATTTTAAGTATAAAGTCTCATGGCGTAAGATCGCATGATAGTGGTAGTCAAGTCACTTCACTGTTACGTGAGATCAGTCGTCCATTAAATTTCTGCCATAACAAGTGGATGGTTTCACATGCCCTATGGCAGGTGGCACCATCCTGTTGGAACCACATGTCATTCAAATCCATGCCATCCAAATGAGGCCACAAAAAGTTCAATAACAGCTCTCAATATTGTTCTCCATTGACAGTCACTGCGTTTTCAGCCTCATTTTCAAAAAGACCAATCACCCCACCAGAGTAAAATGTACACCACACTGTCCCTCTTGCGCCTTGTCGCTAAAGGTGATTTTCTCAGCTAAATCACTGTCCACTTGTTGATTCTCCAACGTCTAGATGCAGATATTTTGTCAAAATCCACTGCATTGTGCTTTTTAAAGGTTTAATTGCAGTGACCGACGGCGCACTGAGGTTACGAGGCCGGTTTGTTTTTTATTGTTTGCAACCGAACCTGTTTATTCAAATTTGGCAACTAATCTTTTCACAGTTGTTTCATTCGAGGCGTTCATTCTACTGAAAATTCTACGTAATTTCCGCACAGTCTCAGCTACATACTCTCCATACTTGGAAATGAATGTTCACAATCTTCACTCTATTATCCGTCGTATAGTGCTCCATTTTGTCTAACCGCAACGTGTTTACTACAACAAGTGATTCCCCTGCACAATGCTGCCAACTCTTCGCAATGAAAATGGCGCAAATTCAATGTGTTACTTTTGGGACACCCTTTATATACGAAGTTGCACCCAGTCGGCATTATTGGCCTCCAAAATGCGGCTCCAAATTTCATAAAAAAATTAATACCTTTGCAACGCTTTAACTTAGAAGTACCAAATTTGGTATACAATTTAGATGCATTAAGGATTATAAATTGATTATGAGATCATTGAGGTATGCGGTATTTAGATAATAATTAGTGAGAACTCAGCCTTTACTGCATATGGATTTGTTTGCCCTTTGGCCAATTTGAAACCGTCCTCTCACCATTTTCCAAAAAAAACATGTTTAATCAAAGTATACCTTACTAGCTCTGTAAATTAGAATCGCCAAGAAAGTCAATAGTGAGTTACAGATTTATCACATAATAATTAACAAGTACAAATTTAATTTCAGTCTTCTCTTTTAAGAAATAAGTACAATTTTTTAAACTAACGCATATTTTTGAAAATACAGAATGATTTCAGTAAAAACGATTTAATAAGAAAACAAAATAGTTATGGTAACAATGTAATTTAAATGTACAGAAATAAATTATTAGGTTATTAGTTATAAGATAAATTGTTCAAAATGACCACCATTTTCTCTAAGGCATAAATTTATTCTTCACCAAAAAGGAAAATTCGTCAGGTCCAATAACTCGTAGTCATCTATTATTCGATTATTGTTTCAACGTGTAGAATAAACAAAATCCTTTAAACAACCACAAGTTTGTTTGTTTCTTAAATTTTTTTCGCTCAGCCAGCTTAAAATTTGTAACTTGTTTAAGACATTTTTGAGTATGCAATTTTCTCTTGCTGTTATCTTCTTATATATATAAAAATTACGTGTCACGTTTGTGTGCAATTTGATCCAACTTGAAAGATAGGATAGCTTACATCTCAATTTATAGTCACAATATTATTTTATTGCAAATTATTTGTCTGTTATTTGACAATTACACAATTAGTATTCAATAGATGGCGCTATGTTAAAAATACAAACGTTTCATATAAGCTACAATTTAATAGCATAACCACCACGTGTTGCTGAGGCTAAGGTGGTACGAAAATTTTGATCAATCGTGTTCAAAGTCCTTCTCTTTCAAATCCCAATCCAATGGATTCTTATACCAGCTTTAACGTTTCCGTCTTCGTTCGTAAATACGTTTATCCCAAAAAAAATATTAAATAATAAATGTCCACCCGTACGAAGTCGGGACGGGCCGCTAGTTTAATTAATAAAAATCTCTTATAGAGATAAACTAAGCTTTACAAGCCCGATAAGTTTAACATCTTTCCTCCTGAAAACGTTGGAGAGAATAGTTGATAGGCATATAAGGGACGGAGTGTTGAGGGTAAATCCTCTACACAAGTACCAATACGCCTATCAGGCAGGCAGATCAGTCGACACAGCCCTTCACAGCCTAGTCTCTAGGATAGAGAGGGCGATGGACGACAAAGATCTAGCTTTGGCAGCTTTTTTAGATATTGAAGGGGCATGGGTTAAGTGGAAGAACAGTGTGTTGTCCACTGGACGACACAGCTGAACTTCGCCCTTTCATATATTTGTATTTAGTACATGTGTCTGTTTTTTATGCTATGTATGAATAAAGAATATTATTATTATTTGATAATACACCTTTCGAATCTATTAATTCGGCAATTCGCAACAAGGGCCTTGATGACACTTTATGTCGTTGGATAGATACCATGTTGAGAAACCGAACAGTAACAGCTACCAGAGACATCCAAGTGTAAGGTAAGCCGGGGCTGCCCCCAGGGAGGCGTACTGTCTCTCTTGTTATGGGGATTAGTGGTGGACGGCGCACTGGAGGGCCTTAATCGAAAGGGATTTTATACACAAGGCTATACGGACGACTTAGTCGTTCTCATAGTCGGGAAACATAATATTATCGTTTCAGAACTCATGAAAGAGGCTTTGAAATGGATAGATGACTGGTGTAAGGGGCAGGCACTGTCAGTAAACCCTGACAAAACGGTCGTAGTACCCTTCACTAGGAGAAGAAATTTAACTGGACTCTCTGAACCTATAATAGGGGAGAGGGGCATTACATTTTCCAGGGAAGTAAAATATCTAGGAGTGATACTGGATAATAAGCTTACCTGGAATGCGCACTTGGAAAAAGTGGTGAGTAAGGCGAAGCAGACACTGTGTGTATGCCGCCGCCTTATTGGGAAAACCTGGGGACTGAAACCAAAGATGTCACACTGGTTGTATACGTCGATAGTAAGACCCAGGATTCTTTACGGCGCGGTGGTATGGTGGCAGAAAACACAACAGACCACAGCGAAGGAAAAACTGAATAGAATTCAGAGATTGGCCTGTTTAGGTATAACGGGGGCGATGGCATCGACCCCGACAGCTGCACTAGAAGTCATGCTAAATCTGCCACCGCTGCATATAGTGGTGGAGAGAGAAGCGCGGCTAGCAGCATATCGACTCAGGAATAATAATGACTGGAGGGGTGGTTCCCACTCCAGGATCAAAGATACATCTATGTCGGAACCAATTCTTGGGATGGTATCCGACAAGATGGTTCCAAAGTTTCACTTCCACAAGCCATTTGAGACTCGAATAGAGGATCAAAGCGAGTGGGAGGAAAGGTTTAATACCCTGGAAAGGTGGAGCCTAGTATGGTTTACAGATGGCTCCAAAATGACCAGAGGGACGGGTGCAGGAATATATGGACTCAGACCCAGATGGAGTGCAAGCTACAGTCTGGGGGAGTTCCCTACTGTATTCCAAGCAGAAATCTTCGCGATAATGGCGTGTCTGGCAGAGAATGTACGTAGAGGTTATAGACGTAAACTCATATATATATTCTCTGATAGTCAAGCTGCAATTAAAGCTTTAGCCGCACACAAGGTAAGTTCAAAACTGGTGTGGGACTGTTTACAAATGCTGACTGAACTGGCCACCAACAATACAGTCAGACTGTGTTGGGTGCCAGGGCACAAAGGCATTTGTGGAAATGAGAAAGCGGATGAACTTGCTAGGAAGGGATCCGAGACAGAGTTCATTGGCCCGGAGCCCTTCTGTGGCACATCTCCCAGTGTGGTCAGGCGGGCTCTGGGCAAATGGACTGAGACAGAACACAGGAAATACTGGACTTCAAGGCCAGGACATAGCCATTCTAAGGAGCTCATGGAGTATCCTTCGAAGGAAAGAGCGAATGATTTACTGAGCTTGAACAGAATCCGGCTCAGGAGAGTGACAGGACTCATAACGGGGCACTGTCACTTTAGGAAACATCTACATAAGCTAAAGCTTGTAGACAGTCCGGTGTGCCGAGGATGTGAATCGGCGGATGAAACTTCTCTGCATATCCTGGGCGAGTGCCCGGGATTTGCACGTAGCAGAATGACGCTCCTGGGGAGACCTTATTTGGAACCCAAGAAACTGAGAGAAGTGCCAGCAAGCAAGCTTTTAGACTTTGGAAAAAGGGACAAATCTACTTGCTGAATAGGACTAGTAGTGGGACGCACAATAGGCCTAATTAGGCCGCGGTGCTATGGGACTTATTAGGACCAACCACTAGGAGAAGAAGAAGAAGAAGCTTTACAAGACTTGAATGGTACTGATTAAGATCCATTATGGGTAGAGGTATAGAGCATTCAACATCATTTATTTCCAACAATTTGAAATTATGTGATTATATTAACTATAACTTTTTATTTTGTATTTGGTTAATTTTACAATTTTGTTTTGATTTGATTCCAATTATTCAGTATTTTTTTATTCAGTAATAAA